AAAAAAAAAAAAAAAAAAAAAAAACAAGTTTATTTCATTTTAATTCTCATTAAATTTAAATATATATTTTAATTTATAATTTTTATATTTTTTTTTTTTATAAATCCTTTTTATTTTCAACTTTTAAACTTAAAATTTCTTTTTTATAAATCAGTTTATTTTGATTTTTAAACTTAAAATTTTTTATTTTATAGGTTTTTTTTATTTTAACTTTCAGATTTAAACTTAAAATTTATTAAATTTGAAATTTTTTTTTATAAATTATTTTCATTTTTAAATTTAAATTAAAATTTTTTTTTTATAAATTTTATAAAATTTTTTAAAAAAAATAATATTAAAATTATTATGAATTATAATATCTCAAATATCTTGTAAATTTTAAAAGTTTAATTTTGTATTTTTCTTATTATATAAATTTTTAGAGTACAGTTAACTCCCTCTATAGTCACTCTCGTTATAATCACATTCTACTATATAGTCACACCAGTTGAATATTCAAAATACTTTAGGGCAATGACAGATATTACCTAATATCAGTTTATTATAAGACCTTACCCCCCCTCCCCCAGGTAAGATATATTATATATGTAATTTTCTTATATAGTATATATGTAACCTAAGATTTTCAATTACCCCCCCTCCCCCTAGAATATTAGGTAATATCTGTCACTGCCCTTATTATTAAAATCTATCCTATATAGTCACAATCTATCTATAGTCACTATTACACATATTCTCAAAACTCTTATATTAAAAAGAACCGTTTATAATCATAGTTATATAAAGAATATATTAAATAACTTGGCATCTAATAATTGTACAAAGATGTATTATAGCTTGTTAGAATTATCTCACTGAGACAAATCGAATGGTGGTAGTTTTATCCTTTTACGATCACTGGCTGACGAGTTATTCAACAAAATGTTAAAAATCAGCATTATAATATTTCTTAATTTACGTTTACTGCACCATTTAACATTTTGCTAGATTTCTCAGTACTTAGTGATTGTAAAAAGACGATTTATAGCTCGTTGGAATCGCCTCATCTAGACTAATCGAATGGTTTTAAGTTCATCTCTCTGTGATCAATATTTACGGAGTTATTACTTAAAAACCATTTAATATTTTTTAATTTTAGAAATTGATCTAATGATTGGATTTCGATGTATCTTATACCATTAGATTTGTCACATCAAGACGAATCGAATGGTAGTAAGATCATTTTTCTAGGATCAATATTGGCAGAGTTATTTCACAAAAACCATTAATATTTTTTAATTTCGGAAATTAATATAGTGGTTGGATTTTGATATATTTTATACCATTAGAACTGTCTCATCAAGTCGAATTGAATGGCGGTAAGATCATCTCTCTACGATTAATATTGGAGAAGTTACGATACAATAAAGTTTTAAGTATAATTCTGGCTAAAATTATGTTAATTTTTGGCCAGAATTATGATATACAAATATAAGAAATTTTTTATATAGTCACATCTCTTTATAATCACCAAATATGGACTGTCCCAAATGTGTGATTATAAAGAGAGTTGACTGTATTTAAAACTTATAAAATAATTAAAATATTATTATATGATGTTATATTTAAGATATTTATTGGATTATTTAAATAATAAAATTAATAGAAAATGTAGAAATATATTATATATAGAGAAGTAGTACTATAGTCTGTAATATATAGTATAATAAAAAAGAATAATGAAAAGATTATATGATAAAAATATATTATTATTACAGTCAAACTTTGATATAGCGAATCCTTGATATAGTGAATTTTCAGACAACTATAATAAATTTTCCTTTACTATAATGAATTCAATCAAATCTCTTAAAATCTTCACTATAGCCTTATAGCGAAGTTGAGGTCTAGAACCTAGGGTTCATTATAACAAGAGTTGACTGTAGAAAATTTTGGTTTGTAATATTTATATTTTTAACTTATTTAAATTTTTTGTTTATTTATAAAATTAAATTAAATAATATAAAATTTGAATTAATAGTTAATAAGTTAATTATAAAAGAACTAAACTTCCTAAAAGAAAAAATTGTATATATTTTTTTAAATTTTTAATTAATACTATAGATGTGACTTCTATTAGTATAATTATCTGAAATCCTATATTAATATTATGAAATTTATATAAACTTGAGTTTAATTTAAAAAAAAAGTATGTTATAAACTTATTCTTAAATTTTAATTGTAATATAATAAACAATTTTTTCTATAATAATATTATTACTGATTTATATAAATAATATATTTAATACTGTAATTACTAAAATAATATCTTAATAATTTTGGATCTAAAGAGGGGGTTTTTTAACAAGTTTATTTAGTAACTTGGGCCAAGATAAGACTATATCTGAGGTAACTATTAAGGGAGTTGACTGTAAATCTAAAAATACTTTCATGTTTTTTTTAGTTCTATTTATGTCTGATAGTTTAACACAACATTACAGATTTGAGTGATTTATCACCCTTTTGACAATTACTATTTCAGACTACTTCTTTAAGAATTTTAATGGCTACATAAATAAACCAATCAGCCAAATATTTTTTGATAATATGAAAATAACACTTTATTGATCTTTAAATATTAATCCCAGACCTAACATTTACAAATAGTTAAGTTCAAGAGAATGTCAATCTATCTTATGAAAGGAGACGGTTTATCCTGGTTTATCTAATTGAATATATATTGTATATACTTATTCACTAAATGCTATTGCCTATATAAACATCAAAGTATGTCATAGACTGAACATTTCAATAATTGCTCCAACTCCGGATTGTCTAAATAAAAGTTGCTATGCAAATATAATTCCTTGTAGCTTTTTAATTGTTTTTATAATATTAGTTCGTATTAAAGAAGTTAAAATATTATTACCTAATAGTCTAACACCATCCACGATCTCACATTATTTTCAAGAAACCCATATAAACGAACTTTGATGATGATATAATGAGGTCAATTATCATATTTATTAAAGTCCGAGTAATCTTTAGCATGATTAAATTAATTCATAATAACGGTCTGATATTGGAAAACTTACAAATACTATAAAAACCAAATAACCAAGAAAGAAAATAAGGATCATACTTCTCAATATCTGTAACATCATTATCATCACTAACCATTAACTTTCTACTTAAAGATTGATCCCTTTTACAAAATCATCCGTGCTCGTACTAATTACAAGCTCAGAAATCTTCAACTACGCTATTTTAAAACTAATTTCATTTAGAAATTTCACGTGAATATCAGTTAAATCAGAACCTTTTTAACCTTCAAAAACCTGAAAACGAAACGGCTTTCTTGCTATAACTTTCCTTATTTAGGTACCTAAATAAAATAACTATAAACTATTTTATAAAAAAAAAAAAAAAATACTCAATGTAGTATCAACTAAGGGAGAAATTTCTCTGTCGAATAAGGCACAAAAGGGAAAGAAGCAGTTCTATAAAGCCAGTAACTTTTCCCACATATTTGTGCGCTGAAGTTATCGGACAAAAACTAAAAGAAAGTAAATTAAGTGGAAAATGAAAACTTGAGGGAAAAATACGAACTGACAATATTTCAGCACTGAAAATTTAACAAAAGGAGTTTCAATAAAAAAAAAACCTATTCAACGTGGTTTTTTCAACAAAACAATAGATAGAAACAAAAATTCAAGTAAAAAAAAAAAAAAAAATTTATTGCTCTCGTGTCATGCATTTATGGAGGTGATAGTCGTATGTGTCAATATTTAATATTAATAACATGCCAAAAACATTTAACAATGTTAACCAAATTAAAAATCGGTTTGAATCTTAAAAAATTTATTATTTTAGCAATATTGAAATTATTTTTAATATACTTTTGGATATCAGAAAGGGAATTTGTAATACTTTTATTGTGTTAAGAATTTGATAAAAGTCCCAAGAATTGCCCTCTAAGAAATTTACAAAACACACTGGTTTACTAAATGCAACTCGTAAAAAGCTTTTAAGACCATCAGTTAGCTCTAGATGGGTGTTAGTATAACTGTAACTGTAATTCCAGGAAACATTCATACTATATATTATCATATCATATATCATATAAAAAAAAAAGGAAAAAAAACAAAACTATGTGATATCAAAAATTTTTTTAAAATAACATGGGAAGCAAACGTCCACCAACAAAAAAAGCTTCAAGTACTGCAAAAGAAAATTATATTCAATTCCAAAGATAATGAGCCAGCTTCCAAATTTTCTAATCTAACAATATGACCAACGCTTAAAATTTAATATAAATGTTATTAATCAATCAGTTCTCTGCTTCTTTTTTGATGGACCCTGTAGTTCTTCTAATTCTACCCTAAGTCTTCCATTCTCAGTTTTGAGCATCTCCACTTGTGTTTGTAATTCCTGAATGGCTTGATCTGTCAACAATTTTTCCAATGTCCACTTCTCGATGTTCGCAGCTTCATTCTCCTTAAGTTGTTGAATATATTGAACTGCTCTATTGAGAATACTTCCTTTATTTTTTTCACAACCAGGTACAATTTTGGCTAATTCATTAATACCGGCGTTGATCGTATCACGGCGTCGACGCTCAACCTCTTTGTGATTTTCGCGACGCTGTCGATGCCATTCTTCACTACCAACGGGAGGTTTTCCGCTTGGTGTTGTCTGAGGTGTTGTCGTGGCAGATAATGAATTGGTTCTTAACGGAGTATGTTGCTGAACTTGTTGTGTTTGCTGTTGAACATGTTGAGGAGTAATTGGCGCCGGTTGAATAGGTAAAGGATTAGAATGGATCGTTACTGGATCCTGCTTTTGTTGAGGAGTAGAAGGAAGCACTTGAACAACGTTTTGTTGACCACTAGAACTAAATGTAAAAAAAAAAGGACTTTGGTTTTAAATAAACTAAATAAATATATATAATATTGACACATTTAAAATATTTACCTGGGTGGGATCGAGGCTGTGGTACTTTTTTGCTGAGTTTGAGTTTGCGTTGGTGTCGGTACTGCTGAAGCTGTTTGAGCTTCATCCTTTGAAACAATTTTTGTTGATTTTGAGGGGCTTTCTTTATAAACATTCTACAAGATATTAATTTTGTAATTGTAAAAAAAATAATAATAATAAATAAAGCTTCAACCACAATTTACTCTCGTAGCCATTTGCACCGCTAGAACAATGATCGCGCGTGCACCTTTTTATGAAAATAAAATAATGAAATAACCTACCATTTTTAAAATGGCTTCTTCAGTAGACATTTCAATATTCAACTAATTTTTAGAAGTTAACAATAAAAAAAACCACAACGCGCACACTTTTTCAAGTACTGTACGTCTCACGGTTTCAAAGGGTTCAAGTCAGGTGAACTGTAAAAACGGTCACGGTTTTATTGATGTTCCTTCTTGAGAGAAAAGGGGGGTTCTAAATCTTCTGGGGGGAGGGCAAAGATATGACTGGAAAGCTGGTGATATCTTGTGACCATCTTGTGACATGTAGATGACGTAATATTGCTGAAAATGGTGATATGCATCATTTTAGTACATTGTCATACATTTACTTCACCACAAACGCAATTCAAACAGTTGATTTTCAGGTGACGATGGCTGATGCTGCTTTGATAAAATGCCTGGACTACATACTCATATTGTGGTCTTATTATTGTGATCAGATGATAATCAGATGATTATTTTTATTGAATCAAGAAGTTTAGCCTGTTACATCGCATGTGTAAGTAAGAATATGATCGAACATTTTAGAAATTTAAAATCGGTGATACAATATTAAAAATGTTAATAAATACCTGTTATTTTAATATAACAATATAACGATCAATTATAATTTTAGGTTAAAAAATGTGAAATTCATATATTAGTAAAATTCTTACTGAAAAAAAAAATTAATTTTTAAAATAAGTAATATAATAAGTTTTATATAATATATATAAATCTATTTAGAAAATATTATTTTAATAAAATAAAATTTATTTAGAAATATAATTCTCTTATTATCTTACTATTTTAATTTGCAAAAAAGTAATAACTAATAAAATATAATTTTATATTTAATTTATAAAAAACTTTTTCCAATTGGTATATAAATTCTAAATCAAAAGTTATATATATAAATAATCATGTATTTTTCCTAAAAAAATTTCCTAATTTTCACTGGTAAAAAAATGGTCTATCCTACACATATCCTACACATATCTTACATATATCGGGTACTCAAAATGTAGAAAATCATACACAAATAATACACATATCATACACATATCGGGTACTTATATATGTTGTGCCTCAGATCGATTCTTGCCTCAGATTGAAGCTCACGCACCTCAGTTTGAGATTGTCATCTGACGCACCTCAATTGCTAATAAAAATGAGCTATAATTAAACATCAAAATTTCCAATTTTAATGTATTTTTAAGTACTAAGTAAACTTATTTATCATTATTTTAAGTATATAATCCTAAAATTTCAGATTAATTAGAATCATGCTCATTAAATCTTTTCATTTGAAAAATGACTTAAAATTTAATGATTTTTCAGATAAAATACAAGTATAAACTTCAATATGAATCAGATTTACATAAAGATTTCAGGAAACATGTAACTCATTATGGCGCACAAGTTTGTTTATGTTACAAAAAGTGGTTTAATTATTGAGAAAAAAAGTTTACTTATAACAGACTTTATTGAATGATTCAAATGAGGTGCGTCAGGTGACAATCTCAATGTGAGGTGCGTGAGCTTCAATCTGAGGCATGAATCGATCTGAGGCACAACATATATATAGTATACCTATCAGGTACCTGATATATGTATGATATATATATTAGTACCCGATATGTGTATAATATGTGTATTATTTATGTATGATTTTCTACATTTTGAGTACCCAATATGTGTAAGATATGTGTAGGATAAATCATTTTTTTACCAGTGTTTTAGGAATTCTACACAATTCTAAATATAATCATATATTTTTCCTAAAAAAATTTTCTAATTCAGTAAAATTATTCCTAAAAATTAGGATTTTTTTTAGGAAAAATACATATATAAGCTAATAAATTATTATTAAATTAACTTTTTTTTATATGTAATTTATATATATATTTTAATAATCACTAGTATTACAATTTTTTATATTTCACATAATTTAAAATTAATTAACACTTTATTGTAAAAAATGTAAAATTTATTATATGATTGTGATAATTAGTAAATCATTGTATAATTATATTTAATAGTAATAATCAGATTATATAAAAAATTAAAAATATGCAACTAACAAATATTTTACATTAAACTGAACTTTAAACCTTACTTAAATATTATTTATTAAATCTACTATGTCAATTAAGATTTAGTTATTATTTTTTTTATCAATTAACTTAGCTTTATATTGCTTATATCCTTTAATATTATGCTTTTTTACAGAAATAACTATAGATTTTAGAAGATAAAAATATATATTGATTATTATTCTCTTTAGTTAATAATTTATATTATTTTAAAAGATAATTATTTGGCTTGTAATATTTTAAATTTAATATTTTTTTCCATTTTAATTAAAAGTTATTACTAGTGATTGTAAAAAAATTTTTGAATTTTATTATTAAAAGTGATATAAAATGAATTTCTTTTATATTTAATCCAATATTAGTATAATAAAATTTTATAATAAATTGTGTAAAAAGTCCAATCAATTCTAGTATAATATCTTTTACTATAGCAATTTGGATACTTATTTTTATGTTTTTTACTTCAAATCACCGGGGGTGAGTATCACCGTTGGCCAGAATTATCAAATTTTACTGGCACTCTATTTTTTTAATGCTGGTCGATCGTCATAATTTCAGTCATCAGTGATCATCACCCCCGGTGATAGTTAGAAAAATTCTATTTTTATTATTAATATTGTAAAATTAAATTCAATTTTATTAGTTTTCTTTAATATTTAATATATAAATATTTGCAGTTCAAATTTGATTAATAGTATAATATAAAACTTTAGTGATATAATTTTTATTTTCTTAAGTAATTATAATATAATTAGTTATTTTAGTTAGTATTGATTCATACCAATATAAGAAATAAAACTTATATAAAAAATTGCTTTATTAAAAAAAAGAGATATTGATATTAATATGATATTTTTTAATTGATAATATATATATGTTGTGCGTCAAGTGTCGATTTGCGTCAGATGCAGCTGACGTGCGTCAGATGTAAATTGATACTTGACGCGCGTCACTTGAATCACACAATAAAGTTCTCCTATGGTAAAAAAATTTTTTTTAATAATAAAATTATTTTTTATTACGTAAGTAAATTTGTTTGTTACAATAAATTACACATATTGTGAAATTTTATGGCTATTTAATCTATGTTTAATTAAATATTGTAAATTTACTTGAAAAAACTTGTAATTTATTAATATTTTGAATGAAGTATTTTCCATATGAAACTGAGTCTAATCAATTTAATATTACAGGGTTATATATTTTTTAACAAGATTAATAAACTTATTTAATAAAGAAATTTAGTTTAAGTTTGAAAATTTTAATTTAATTATAACTTAATTTTGCATATTTTATATTACAAGTGACGCGCGTCAGGTATCAATCTACATCTGACGCACGTCGGCTCATCTGACGCAAATCGACACTTGACGCACAACATATATATATAAATAAAATTGAATTTTTAAAATTACTATAAAATACAGTATAATATGCAGTAGATAAATGTTGATGATATTATAATGATATAATAAACCTCTTATATTTCTTAAATTTTTTTACTGTTTATATAGTATTTATATAGTATTTATATTTAATAAAAGATTTTGTAATCTAATTTACTATTTATTATATATACATTCAATTATACCATTAGATTCATTATTAAATTCTTAATTAAATTAATATTTTTTAATATACCGTATTTCTTCAAAAATAAGCAACTTATTTTTGTTATAACATTGTTTATTTTCAAATAGTTTAGCTTTTTTAAAATTCATAGCTAAAAGTTTAAATTTCGTATTAGTAAAAAGATTAAACAATATAACTCCTGTAATTACTGATCATTTAACATGACTTCTGTGATCATTAATCATTTAACATACATTATGTAAAAGTTGCAATACCTGTTTTACTATGCCAATTACTACACCAAGTGCAACAAATAAAAAATGCTAAGAAAAGTTGCTTATTGTAAGGTAAAACAAGTTGTTAAATGTAAAAAAACCTTATATTCTATAAAACAAAAGATAGAGGTTATTAAATATGCAGAGGAATATGAGAATAATAAAGTAGTAGAACATTTTGATATTCATTATAATATGGTAGGACGTTGGGTAAAAGCAAGTTTGACCTGGAATATTAAAACTAATGGAAAAAGTAAGCAAGTTAGTTTTGATCAAAAAGCATTTTTTCCCAATATTAAAAAAGACTGTATAATTAAATAATTAAGTAAAAGAAGCAAGGTCTAGTTGTATCATATATAATTACAGTCAAACCTTGATATAGCGAACTCTTGATATTGTGAATTTTTCAGACAACTATAATAAATTTCCCTTTACTATAACGAATTAACCAATCAAATTACTTAAAATCTTCACTATAGCAGGACCCCACTTACTTATAAGATAAGTCACCTCCAAGCCTAAGGTAAAAATTATATATAAAATTCCTTGCAGATCCTACTATAAAAGAAAATTTTATGTTACATTGTTATGATTTTTTTCCTTTTTAGCTAATTAACCAATAGAATTTAAGAAAAAAGTAAGGTAAAAACAATTAGTAAAGGGCCAATTTTCTACAGTGACCTTTATTATAAATAAGTGGGATCCTACTATAGCCCTATAGTGAAGTTAAGGTCTAGAACCTAGGGTTCGTTATAATAAGAGTTGACTGTATATGAAATAAAATATTAAAAATTTTAAGAAAGATGTAAATTCTAAAACTTTATAGAGAACTTACAGAAAATTTTAAAACTTCTTATTATTGGTTAATAGGATTTTTGAAAAAATACAAATTGGTATTGAAACACTAGAATTTTCTAAAAATTCTATCCTAAGTAAAATTCAAGAACAGTTGAAGAAATTCAATTAATTTGTAACTAACTTTAAAATCAAAAAATCCTATGAATTGGAAAATATTTTCAATATGGATGAAACACCCATTTAGTTTGATATAGCTGGCAACTTTACTATAAATCCAAACTCCAAAGGGTGAAAAAACAGTTCATATTCATGCAACATGTAATGAAAAAAATCAGTTTACCATCATTTTAACATGTATCATAAGTATAATGATTTGCTACTTTAAATCAAATTTATTAAATTGCAATATCATAGATGTGACCAAACTACTATCTTCAAAGAAAATGAATGTTGCGTAATAAACAAATTCCTTCTGGTGTTGTAATTTAGTTTCAAGAAAATGGTTGGATGGATTCAAGTTTAATGTTAAAATATATTGATTACTTCAATGATATAAGGTTAAAAAATGATACTCAAAGAAATCTAGTAATATTAGCACATAATTCATTTAAAGATCATTTGGAAGGATCCATATGAGCCGATCCTTGGAATCTAATTTTTTTACACAAAAATAATTTTATTAAAGCAAATATAAATTATCATTTATATAAGAATAATAAATTTATACTAGATAATGCAAAAAAAACTAATTAATTATATAATTTTTAATTTTTTTTTAATATAAGATATCATTAAAATTTAAAAGATCAAATATAACTCTCATGACAAAATCATTGATAATTCTTCGTAGAAATAAGCTATACAAATAAATTTACATTCATTTGAAAGAGAAAATCGAGATCTATCTAATGAATCTAAAATCAAGTGAATTGAATCA